GTGGTCTCTCACCGCGGCCGCTATCCGTGACAGTCGCCCAGGGCACAGCAGGCATGGCATATTCTCGACACCATAGGGGTTGCGCAGGGGGTGGTCTCTCACCGCGGCCGCTATCCGTGACGGTCGTCCAGGGCACAGCAGGCATGGCATATTCTCGACACCATAGGGGGGGCGCAAAGGGTGGTCTCTCACCGCGGCCGCTATCCGTGACAATCGTTCAGGGCACAGCAGGCATGGCACATTCTCGACACCATAGGGGGTGCGCAGGGGGTGGTCTCTCACCGCGGCCGCTATCCGTTACGGTCGTCCAGGGCACAGCAAGCATGGCATATTCTCGACAGCGTAGGGGTGCGCAGGGGTGGTGTCTTACGGGCCGCTATCCAGACGGTCGTCCAGGGAAGCAGGCATGGCTCTTTCTCGACAGCGTAGGGGTCGCAAAGGTGTCTCTTACCGCGGCGCTATCCGTGACGGTCGTCCAGGGCACAGCAGGCATGGCATATTCTCGACACCATAGGGGGTGCGCAAGGGGTGGTCTCTCACCGCGGCCGCTATCCGTGACGGTCGTCCAGGGCACAGCAGGCATGGCATATTCTCGACACCATAGGGGGTGCGCAGGGGGTGGTCTCTTACCGCGGCCGCTATCCGTGACAGTCGTCCAGGGCACAGCAGGCATGGCATATTCTCGACAGCATAGGGGGTGCGCAAGGGGTGGTCTCTCACCGCGGCCGCTATCCGTGACGGTCGTCCAGGGCACAGCAGGCATGGCATATTCTCGACACCATAAGGGGGTGCGCAGGGGGTGGTCTCTCACCGCGGCCGCTATCCGTGACGGTCGTCCAGGGCACAGCAGGCATGGCATATTCTCGACACCATAAAGGGGGTGCGCAGGGGGTGGTCTCTCACCGCGGCCGATATCCGTGACGGTCGTCCAGTGCACAGCAGGCATGGCACATTCTCGACACCAGAGGGTGTGCCCAGGGGGTGGTCTCTCACCGCGGACGCTATCCGTGACGGTCGTCCAGGGCACAGCAGGCATGGCATATTCTCGACACCATAGGGGGTGCGCAGGGGGTGGTCTTTTACCGCGGCCGCTATCCGTGACAGTCGCCCAGGGCACGGTAGGCATGGCATATTCTCGACAGCGTAGGGGGTGCGCAAGGGGTGGTCTCTCACCGCGGCCGCTATCCGTGACGGTCGTCCAGGGCACAGCAGGCAGGGCAATTCTCGACACCATGAAGGGGGTGCGCAGGGGGTGGTCTCTCACCGCGGCCGCTATCCGTGACGGTCGTCCAAGGCACAGCAGGCATGGCATATTCTCGACACCATAGGGGGTGCGCAGGGGGTGGTCTCTCACCGCGGCCGCTATCCGTGACGGTCGTCCAGGGCACAGCAGGCATGGCATATTCTCGACACCGTGGGGGTGCGCAAGGGGTTTTCTCTCACCGCGGCCGCTATCCGTGACGGTCGTCCAGGGCACAGCAGGCATGGCATATTCTCGACACCGTAAAGGGGGTGCGCAGGGGGTGGTCTCTCACCGCGGCCGCTATCCGTGACGGTCGTCCAGGGCACAGCGGTATCGGCGGGGCAACGGCCACCAACATCATTCTCACATGCTTCACTTCAGCTCTCATCTCTCCAGCCATCATATAAGTATGTGGGGTTCCTCGGTAGCGTAATGTGGCTCTCGCCTTATCGCGGTTTGCAAGAGTTTCACGGATTGAGGGCGGTTCCTTTCCAACATGTGGTTCTCGCCTTAGCGCCGCGCACATTCGTTTATACAGTTTTTAAACATTTCACGGATTCCCATCATCAACGTGCCAGAAATGGTGTTTTGGAAGGACTCAGGATTCTGCAGTTACGTTGATTCTCTGTGTTGAAATCCTAGGAATGGCGTTCTGGCACGATTCAGGATCGTCAAGACGCAACAGTCAGGTTGATCCGTGGCGTTGTAATCCCGAGAACAATGTTTTGGCATGCTTCAGGGTCTTCAAACGGGTGTCTTCCAACGAGGTAGTTTCATCAATGCAAATGAATCGTTGTGGGGCCTGTGAAGAGGGAGCTTGGAGGGAGGGTTTACTCCAACATCGTTGATGACTCTTGGGTTTACACTGGTCCTCCTCCTCCTCCATCATCATTGGCGGCCCCTATGGCTCCGCCGCACCCGGTGCGCGCCTCCTCCTCCCTTCTGCACGCTTTTCCTGCTCCGCCGCCTCCTGCTCCTGCCGCTGCTGTTGTTCCAACTCCGTCTCGTTCCCCTCCTTGCACTTATCCTCATCCTCATCCTCATCCTAACCTCGTCCTCATCCTCGTTGTGGTATCGTCCGCCTCCTCCTCGTCGGCGTCCCGATGGCGTCCTCGAGCAAATCTGCCAACCTCTTGTACTTGTCGCCATCCATGGTGTGCATCCGCCTGATGTTGAAGACAAACAGGAACCTGAGTCAGCCATTTGCTCTTGTTGTGCTTTTTCCTATTCCTCTCCTTCTCCGTCTCCTTCTCCCCACCCACTCCCACCCTCGTTCAATCCCATCCCTCCTCTTTCCTCGCTCTTCCGCAATTCCTGCTTCCAATGTCCACCCATCCTCCCTCCTTCCTGCCCGCTGCGTCCTTCATTTTGTCCCCACCCCGTTCCCCATCGTTGTGTCATCATTCCGTCATCATCCCTCTTCTACTTCCGCCTCCCATTCGCCCCCCACGTCCTCCACGTTTGATGGGACCGTCAACGACTCATCGAACATGGCGCAAATCGTATTCGCCGCCCTATTTTGGGGACCCTGGACTCGGACAGCAACCATCGAAAATAACTTATGGCCCACCCGCGGAACCATGCGCCACGGTTTTGGTGCAAATCGGATCTGGACGCTTTCCGATTTCTGATACCCCTCTTACTCCACCCTTCTCGTCGCGCCCTGGTTGCGTAGTTGCCACCACGGAACATTAGAATGGCCACGAACAGTATCGAGTAGCTCAGCTCCCAGAGGTTGAACGCGCCGACGAGGGTGAGGGCCGCAATGCCAGTGGATTTGATGAGCTCGTGGATGATCTCGCAGACCTCTTGATGAGAATGGTACCGGGGGATCGAGACAACCCTAACGGTTGCGTCGGGTGAGGGCGTGGAAGCCAACCGAAGCCATGAACCCCAACGTTGATGGCGATACTATTGGCAATGATGACGGCGAAGGCGATGACACGATTCGTAATGGTGGTGGCAATGACGATGGTCTCCTAGACTCACGAGGGGTCCGATGTCAGCCCGTTCTGGGCCCCTCGTGGTGCTCAACCTTGAACGCCCGTGCCGAGGTCGCCGACGTATGGACGCGACGCGAGCTTGGCGTCTGGCGAGTTGCTGGGTCCCACCAACCGAACACGATGCACGATACACGTGCGTCATCGCTGAACATCAGTGGAACCTCCTAGATGTCCTTGTCGGGCAGTTGCTGCGTCAGAGATGCGCCTGCTCCGAGCCGCCCGACCGCAAGACCGCCATGGGACAGGAAGCAAACACCTTTGGCCTTTAGGCAGTGCGTTTTGGTCGTCTGGGCCGATTGGCCCGAACGGACCAGCAGCTACTTCATATACTGCAGAACATTGTCGAGCAGACGCCCCCCGCGAACGCAATTTGATCGGCTCGCCAGTGCCCGCGAACAACCAGCATGAATGAGACAGGTCCTGAGGGAAACGGTTCCTGGACCCTGGGGCCCTCCCCCAGGACCACCTCTTCATCCCGAGCCGCTTGCGGACACTCCCAGGGCCCGCGGAAGGCCACAGGAACCAAATGCCAACAACACAAACCAAGACCCGTCTCCCTCAGGACCCGCTCCCTCCGTTCGGCGACGCGCCCCGGGGGCAAGTGTTACGTCGGGCCTGTCCCTCTACATGGGGAACATTCAGAAATAGTTAAAAGATAATCTTGGGACATTTGTTGACCATGTTTGAAACATTTTAGGGTATTTGTTTTGTATTTTTCGTCCAAAATCGGCCTGTAGGGGGACAGGCCCGACTTGAGGCAAGTGGGATGGCCGGCCCCCCTTTTGCCCCGCGCCCCGAGCGCGCCGCCGAATGCCGGAGGCCAGATTCAGCAGGGGCTCCAGGTCGACGAAGCGAGGGTTCAGGCTAGCGCGTGGTCACCCAACCCAGATGGCCCGCGCACCTTCCCCTCCAGCCTGCGCACCAGTGAGGCGCTTTCCGTTTTATTTGGTCCCGACGACGACGACGACGACGTGGTGCCTTCCGACCTAGGAGGCGCGCGCTCCCTCCTCTTTCACCTGTCTGCGCACCAGTTAGGTGCTTTCCCTTCGCTCACAGGCCCGCGCACCAGTTAGGTGCTGTCCCTGTGGCGCTCCCTCTCCTGAAGGCGCCCGCCGCCCGATGCCGTGCGCGGGCCTTGGGATGGCGTTCGCTTCTCGGCCTGCACCGCCTAGCTACCCAATGGCGCTGCGCCACTGCCCCTCCTGCTGCACAGTCGGCCCGTATCATAAGGATGCACGATGAGGATGCAAGGGCCTTGGAAGGCCATGTTCGAACTTTGCCAGCGGGGCGCGGCCAACTGGAGTGGCCAAGGATGGGCCGACGGCGCAAGGATGCAAGGGTACCCTTGGGAATGTGGCCCATCCTTATTAATATGCGGGTTGACTGTGCTGCGCCCGCGGTCTGCCCCCGCAGCCGCCGCAGCGCTGGACGCACCGCGCCTGTGGCCCGCCGCCGATCGCTCACGCCGCTACCTCCTCCGCCCGGGCGCCCCCGCTTGCCGGTCGCTTGCTGTTCCCACTCTCCTACTAACTGGGCCTCGCCAGCACTGTGGCTGCTGGCCCCGCCCCTTGCTTCGTCGTTATGCCGCCCCGCGCCGCTGCCAGGTGCTGCCCTTCAGCCAGGCCGCCCCCGCGCGCCTGCCACGGCCCCGCTGCGTGAGTGTGCCCCCGCGTTCCTGTCCCATCCCCGCGGCCGCCATCTCCCCTCCTTTTTTTCCTCCTGCATGCAGACCAATTCGGAACAATTCGCGACTCCGTCGGCCAGCGTTGCCACTCGCGTGACCGGATTGCCCCTTCTGCGCCGCGACGGAAAAAAGAGATGCAGAACATCATCAGGAAGTCGACCAGACGTGGGCAACGCCGACATCGAGGTCGAAACAGCCGCACGTGCAGGACTTTGAGGACGAGGGGGTTTGCCAAAAATGCCGTGTCCGGCCATGATGATGATGCTGATGATGCTCATGATGATGGTGAAGATGGTGCTGACGACGATGACGCTGCTGATGCTGCTGATGTTGGTGATGTTGATGATGCTGATGTTGATGATGTTGATGGCGATGGCGATGTCGATGCTGCTGGTGAAGCTGGTGCTGATGATGCTGACGATGTAGACGGTGATGAAGATGCTGGTGATGATGCTGCTCATGGTGATGGCGATGATGACGATGATGACGATGATGATGGTGATGATGATGATGCTGCTGACAATGATGGTGATGATGACGATGATGATGGTGACGATAATGGTGGTGGCGAGGTGTCGCAGCTGATGGGTCTTGCTTCGGACTTATCCGAGGGCGCATTTCACGGGAGCTTGCCTTGGGAGCATTCGGCGGCGCGTTTCGAACCGGGGGGTAAAACCCTCCCAACATTCGGCGCGGTCGATCAGAAACAGGGGGACTCATCTCCCCCCTACCCCCCCCTCCCCAAACCCGCCCCCCCCCCCCTCTCCATTGGGGGGGGTGTTCAAACCCCTTCCCTGGCGCGGCGCCCGCGCTGGCGGTGGCCAGCAGCGCCGACAGCAGACGCAGCGGCGATGACCAGAGAGGGCCAAGGGGGGGGGTCCAACCCCCCCTCCCTCGGCGCTGGCGCCGGCGCTGGCGGCGGCCAGCAGCACCGACGGCGGGAACGCAGCGACGATGACCAGCGGGCCCAAAGGCTGCAGACGGGAACACGCAAATCGCTATAGACACAACCACACCAACCACCACCACCACAACCAGCACCAACGCCACAACCACCACTACCACCACAGCCCACCACCGCCACCACCACCAGACTCAAAGCCAACACAGAGTGGCGGGGAGACCCGAAGGCCTCACCACCACCACCACCACCACAACCACACCACCATCACCGCCACCACCACCACCACAACCAGCACAACCCACCACCACCACCACCACAAACCACTGCACCAACACCACCACCACCACCAAAAACGCCACGACCACCACCACAACCCACCACAACCCACCACAACCACCAAGACCACCACCACCACCACCACCACTACCACAAACCACCGCACCGCCACCACCACCATCACCACCACCACCGCCACCACAACCCACCACCACCACCACAAACCACCACACCACAACCACCACCACAACCACCACCACGACCGCCACAAGTCACCACACACCACCACCACCAGCACCACCAACTACTGCACCACCACCACCAGCATCACAGCCCGCCACCACCACCACGAACCACCACGCTTCAACCACCACCACCGCCACCACAACTACCACCACCACCACAACTCACCACCACCACCACCACAAGCCACCACGCAACTCACCACCACCACCACAAGCCACCACGCAACCACCACTACCACAGCCACCACCACAACCACCACAACCACAACAACAACCCACCACCACCACCACAACCACAGCCACAACAACCCACCACCACCACCACAATCGACCACACCACCACCACCACCGCCACAACCACCACCTCACGACCAGAACAACCTACCACCACCACCACCAACCACCACAAGCCACCACCACCAGCACCACCACCACCGCCACCACCACCACCATAGCAACACCAGCACCAACCTCCGCAACCCACACCACCACCACCAACCATCACCACCAACAACCCCCCGACACGACCACCAGCACCCACCGCCGCCACAAACACAACCACTCACCCCGCCAACCACCACAGCCATCACCACCACCCCACAACCATCACAGTGACCTAACCACCCCACCACAACCACCAATCACCGCCAACCCTACACCCACCACCACCACCACCACACAACACCAACCACGCACCACCACCACACCACCACCAAAAACGCCACCACCACCACAAACCACCACACCACTACCACCACCATCACCACCACCACCGCCACTACCACCACCACCACGACCCACCACCACCACCACAAACCACCACACCACAACCACCACCACAACCACCACCACCACCACCACAAACCATCACACCACCACCACCACCACCACCACCCACATCCAAAAACACCACCACAAACCACCACCACCATTCCAGAGAGGCCCCAAGAGACGTCCAAGAGGCGCCCAGGATGCTTCACAATTGTTTCAGAGGCCCCCGAGAGCCCTCCGACGAGACCCCAAGAGGCATCCATTAGGACTCTGACCCATAACCAAGGCACGATGGCGGAGCGTCGTCGTCCTCGTTGTCGCGTCGTCCTCGTTGACGCTCCCCGCTGCCGCCGCCAGCCGCCGCAAGCGCCGGCCCCGGCCAAGGAACATAAATCGTCGTCTTCATCGACGCTCCCCGCCGCCGCCAGCCGCCGCCGACGCCAGCGCCAGCCTGAGGAGAGGGAGAGAGGAGCAGGGGGGGGTGAAACCACCGCCCCCTCCAAGCGCTCACAGAACGCGCTCTTTCGGACTTATTGGAACAACTGTCACGCCCATTCGGGCACCTGACTTCAATTTCACCATTTCGCGCATGTGAGGCACATGTTCGGAGGGTCCCCGCGCTGGGGCCACAACTGGAATATGACGAGCTAATGCCACCACCAGTCCTTCCACACACTTCCTGGGCACAATTGTTTCGACGGGTGAGGATCACTTCGACGACGATATGCCTTCCTCCCCGTCGAAGATTATCCACCCGCCAACGGCTATGTAAGCCAACAGTGCTACAACTGCTGGTAACGATGATGATGATGACGAGGACGAAAACAATGACCTTGAGGATGATCATCAGCCGTCTGAAGTTCACGACGAATGCTTTCTCCAAGAACTCCTGGTGAACGCCGCCGACACCAGACGTGCTCGAATGCCGGTACCTCCTGGGCTTCGCGCTGGCCTGGTTCGTCATCAGCCTCCAGGGAGGGGGGTGGGGCGGTGGAGAAACGCTCCTCCTCTTACGCCCCCCTCCCTTCTCCTACCCTCGAACCTCGCCCCCCCCGGTTCTCCATTCGACCTCTTCCTGCCTCCCCGCCTCCTGTCCTCTGTTCTCCCATTCCCGTCCCCTTCCGCTCGCCCTCGTCCTCCTCCTCCTCCTCATCCTCCTCCACCTCCTCCTCCCAAAAAGCCATCAGCAGAAAACGCCAGACCAAGTCTAGAGTATCCTCCTCCTCCTCCTCCTCCTCCTCCTCCTCCTCCTCCTCCTCATCATCATCATCATCTTCTTCCCCTCCTCCTCCCTCCCTCCCTTCCTCCCGGCTGCCGAAGAAGAAGAAGAAGAAGAAGAAGAGGGCGGAGGCGGGCCAGCAGCAGCGGCAGTGGTCGGGGTCTGCAAAGTCCCACGGTCGCCGCGCTGGCCGGTCCAATCGCCAGCACTCCGGCCCGCCAGGCTGCGGCCCTGGCTGACCGCCGCGGAAGTGCCGGAGCCGCGCCCCAGCGAGGGCGAGGGACGGAGCGACGGACGACACGACGACGGAGCCAGGGGCACCCGGGGAGGCGGGGGGGAGAAGGGCGAGAGATATCACGGAGCCAGGAGACACAGGAAAGCAGGGGGAGAGGGGCGACGACGGGGGGGGACGGCAGCGCAGAGGGCAGGAGGAGAGAGGGGGGGCAGGCACGAAGCACGCGCAGCGGCCGGGGCGGGCTCGGTCCCTGCGCTGATCCTGCCCCCAACGCTGGAGCCGCCCCCTGTGGCAGCCGTCCCCGCCGTGCTCGGCGGCGCCCAGCCCTGGCTGGCTCGCTTGCCCTGCGTGGGCTCGGGCCCGCGCTAGGCCGGACACGCTCATGCCCGGCTGCGCCGCGCGCAGGGCTGTCTGGGCCTGTGCGCGTTGGAGCGCCATGGCGATGCGCCTGTACGCGCGCCGCATCGCCACGACTTTCTCGTTCCCACTCCTCCTCCTCCTCCTCCTCCTCTCCTCCCTACTCATCCTCCTCCCTCCTCTCTCCTCCTGTCCTCCTCCTCTCCTCCTCCTCCTCCTCTCCCTAGAGTTTCCTCTTCCTCCTCTCTTCTCCCTCCTCCCCTCCTCCTCCGCCTCCTCCTCCTCCGCCTCCTCCTCCTCCTCTTTGCCTCTCCTCTCCTCTCCGAAACGGAAACGGGCAAGACAATTCTAGATATCCTTCCACCCTCCTCCTCTCTCCTCCTCTTTCCTCCTCCTCTTCCCTCCTCCTCTTCCTCTCCTCCTCCCTCCTCCTCCTCATCCTCCTCCTCCTCCTCCCTCCTCCTCCGCCTCCTCTCTCCTCCTTCTTCCCCTCCTTTTTCCTCCTTCTCCCTCCCTCCTTCTCCCTCCCTCTTTCCCTCCCTCTTTCCCTCCTCCTCTTTCCCCCTCCTCCTCCTCCTCCTCCTCCTCCTCCTCCTCCTCCTCCTCCTCCTCCCCCTCCTCCCCCTCCTCCATCCTTCTCCCCCTCCGCATCTTCCTCCTCCTGGCGGCAACGACGCCCCGACGGCTACGGCCACGGCGGACGACGACGACGCTGCCGGCGGGCCTCCCGCAGGGTGACAGCGGTCCCTCTGGCCCCTGCGGCACCTCTGGGGGCGGCTGCGGTGCTGTGGCCAGGGGCAGCGCCGCCGCAGCCTGGTCGCCCAGGGGGGGAATATGGATTGGCCTGCCTCCATGGAGGCCTCCTAGATGGGATCCGAGTAGATGGGGTCGGAGGATCGCGCTGCATCGCTGATCCATCGGCGATGCATCGGCGCCACCGCGTGGAAAACATCGGGCTCCACATCGAACCGCAGCGGCGATGCATGGGCGATGCGGCGTTCCTCCGACTCCATCTGCTCGGACCCCACCTGGGAGGCCTGGACTCCGAAGAGGGAGCAGGGGCCACCATACAGTCAAACCGTATATTAAGGGTGGGTGGTAAGGACGCAAGACCCTTGGAGGCCGAAGCGGGGACTCTTGGGGCGGCGGGCGACCAGTGAAAACGGCAGAGGACAGGCCGCAGGTGCAAGGACACAAGGGCACCCTAGGTCCCTAGGTGAGGGCGCGCGTCCTTACCAAGCGTGTTGACCATACAGAGGCAGCGGCTGCCGCGCCGCGGGCAGCGGGCGGCGAAGGGCAGGGGTGCAGGTGCACGAGCAGCAGAACTGTCCCTGTCCGGACAGGCCCTTGGGGGGGCGGGGGATCGTCGTCGTCGTGTTCGTCGTGGATGTTCGAGGCTGGGGTGGTCGAGGGCAGTTGGAGACCGGGGGGGGGAGTCTTCTCTTTGCCGGGCGTGCGTCCGGGGCTCTGCGAGCCCGCGTGCGGCGGGGAGGCATGCTAAGGGGAGGAAAGGGGGGGGGAAAGGGGGAAGGGATGTTAAGGGGAGGAAAGGGGGGGGGGGGGGAATTTAAGGGAGGAAAAGGGATGTTATGGGATGTTGGGGAGGAAAGGGGGGGAGGAAAGGGGATGGTGAAGGGGAGGAAGGGGGTGGGAAAGGGGATGTTAAGGGAAGAAGGGGGGAAGGAAGTTGGAGGTGGGAGAGGACGCGGCACCATCGCTCGGATGAGGACGATCGTCGTCGTGGTCGTGGTCGTGGTCGTCGTGGTCGCCGTCGCGGACATTCGGAGGGGAGGAAGAAGCAAGAATGGGACGCACAGGGACATACTGATACTGTGTGTCTTCCTCGGAGGCGCGCGTCCGACCCAAAGATATAGTATACCCATCGTGTAGTAGATCGTTTCTCGAGCGATATGGCCAGACAGCGCCCGCCAGGGGGGGGGGGGGGGGGGGGGGGGGGGGGGGCGGGGGGGGGGGGGGGGTGGGGGGGGGGGGGGGGGGGGGGGGGGGGGGGGGGGGGAGGGGGGGGGAGGGGGGGGGGGGGGGGGGGGAGAGGGAAGGAGGGAAGGGGGGGGGGGGGGGGGGGGAGAGGGGGGGGGGGGGTGGGGGGGGGGGAGGGGGGGGGGGGGGGGGGGGGGGGGGGGGGGGGGGGGGGGAGGGGGGGGGGGGGGGGGGGGGGGGGGGGAGGGGGGGGGGGGGGGGGGGGGGGGGGGGGGGGGGGGGGGGGGGGGGGGGGGGGGGGGGGGGGGGGGGGGCGGGGGAGGGGGGGGGGGGGAGAAGCATGTACTCCAAGATTTCTCGGTGCGCGCGTCGCCCCTAGGGGGGGGCGACTCACACATAGTAGTAGTATGCTGGGGTGGCGCCGAAAGAAGAGGGGAAGGAATGAGAGGACGAGACGAGGCAGGCCGAGTCGACGAGCCCCCCCCCCCACCCCCCCCCCACAGGCCGAGTCGACGAGCCCCCCCCCCCACCCCCCCCCCACACACACGCACACACACACACACACATAACGAGTCCAAACCATGCGAAGACGAGGGCGGGATATCGATGTCGGTATGGCTACTGTAGGAGCTCGATCACGAGAAGCCTTCAAGAAGAAGCCCAAATCTGAGACCCCATGACGTCCACCGACTCTTGGCGCGGGGACGTCGCGCCCTCCACGGCAGAGCCCTCGAAGCCCAAAAAGCCAAGGGCACCCTGGAAGCAAGCAGGGCGCTTCTTGGCATAGGCCTCCACTGTACCTCTCCTGTGCACTTCGGCGGTGGACAAACCTCCCTTTAGTAAACCTCCCCTTCGTGAAAACGGCCTGGGACCGAGACCGACGACCTGGACCCGCAAAAATGACGGCCGCGGCGCCCTCCTGCGAACCGAACACGGCCAATTCGCTCATCGACGTGTCACTGTAGGAGGTCTGTCCACCCCCGAGTACCCCTCCCAGGCAGCCCACAAAGGACGTACGCGCCCAGCTATGTACATGAACACGGCCCCCCGATCTGCGAGACCGGCCGCGTGATACGAACTTTCGGGCAGTGCGAACTCTCGAAACCAGCGTGGATTCATGTACTGCAGGTCCGTGCCGTGTCGACTCTGGCGTTGGTTCCTGACACCGCGCTGGATCGTTCAACCTTGAACGATCGGCCGCTGCCGCAACGTCCAAATCGTTCCACATCGAACGATTCTGGGTCGCCCGCGGCGTTCAACCTTGAACGTCCGCGCTGGGGTCGCCGCTGGTCGACACGACGCAAACCTACCGTGCGTGTACGTCCTTCTTTCGCTCCTTCGGGGTTGGACAGACCCCCCTTTAGTAGAACGTGGTTCAGTGAAAACGACCCGAGGCCCAAACCTGGCGGGCGCAAGCCTGGAAAATAACGGCCACGGCGCCCTCTCGAGCACCGAAAACGGACAATTCACTAATCGACGTGTCACTGTTGGGGGTTCTGTCCACCTCCGACTCCTGCCCTCCCGTGCCCTGGTCGGTGCAGCGCCCGCTCCGGATCGGCCCACGCGCTCCCGCGGCCCAGCCCCTGCCCCAGCGACTCGAGAGGGGGGGCCCCGGCTGCGGCGGCGGGCCGCCTCCCAGGAGGCGGCAGGAGGGCAACCCAAACGACGCCCAGATGCCATGACGTGCCGTCGCCAAGCGGCCCCTCGTCGAGGAGGAAGAGGAGGAGGAGGAGGAGGAGGGGGATGAGGAGGAGGAGGAGGAGGAGGAGGAGGAGGAGGAGGAGGAGGAGGAGGAGGAGGAGGTAGGAGGAGGGGGAGGAGGAGGAGGAGGAGGAGGAGGAGGCAAGGAGGAGGAGGAGGAGGAGGGGAGGAAGGAGGAGGAGGAGGGGGGCAAGCAGGGTGTTCCTGGGCACGGGCCCCCGCTGTGCCAGACCCCCCTACGTCGGCGACGAAGGGGCGACGGGGGGGGCGGCGCGCCCCATCCCCGAGCCTGCGGCCAGCCCGCAGCACGAGGGCGCACGAGAGGGACGCAGCGGGCCTTGGGCGCTCGGGGACCGTGGAGGGGAGTGGAGGTGCCGCGGCAGCGACGACGGGCCTGCAGGGGCGAGCGCGCGGCAGGCGCAGCTGGATTGAGTACGCACCCGCCTGGGACTGGCCAGGGAGGTGAATGCAGGCAACCCGTATCTTCAGGGCGCGCGACAAGGATGCAGTGGGCCTGGGGCGCCCAGCATGCATTTTTTCGGGCGGGGCGCGGCCAGCGCAAGTGGCCAGGGATGGACCGAGGAGGCAAGGATGCAAGGTTGCCACATCCTTACGATGCGGGCTGACTGTACGCCGATCCATGGCCTTGGACTGGCCTGGCCAGATCGGTGCGGTGGCCAGTAAGTGTCACAGTAGGGGGGGGCGCAGCATGCATCAGCCCATTTGAAAGCTTTTCGAGCGGGGCGCGGCCAACGAATCAAAGATGGACCGAGGAGGCAAGGATGCAAAGGTACCCTTGGGAAAGCTGCCCATCCTTACTATGCGGGCTGGCCGTGTCCCCCCCCCCCGAAGCTGCCCCTGAGATTTCTGAACGGAATCCGGCTGCAGGGACCAGCAGCCTCCCGGGGTCGGGGAGGCGTGAGACTCGGGTTGGGAGGACTCGGGCTGGCCTGACGGGGTCGTCGGATCCAGCCAGAAATTTGACGCGAGCTCCCGCTGCAAGCATCCCGCGAGAACTGGACCGCCCAAACTCCGGAATCGGCAAGCCAGCCAGAGTTCCCGCGAACCCGAATCTTGCGTCTCCCCGACAGGAGGGCCCCGAAAGAAGTGCCCCAAGGACCACCAGCAGCCCCGACCCTCGTCGCCATCGATGGCGACGACGCCGTCGTCGGCGCCTCGGCGAGGCGCTCGAGCTCGTCCGTCGCCTGGCGGGCGCGCTCCTCCAGGAGCTCGAGGCAGCGGAGCCTCGGAGAGGCGGAGGGGGGCACGGCGTGCCACGCCTCAGCTCCTGCTGCTGACGCTCCCTCCCCGCCTCCTCTGTTCTGCCATGTTGGCGTTTTCTTATTCGGCGTTTCGGCATCGGGCGGGAAGGGGGGGGGAGCGGTCTGGCTCTGGGCCTCTGCTGAGTGCGACTGTTTGCAGCAGTGCGACCTATGGGGGAGGCTCCACCTGCTCGAAACAGGCGCCCCAAACAGCCAAGATCTACTCCAAGGGGGGGGGGGAGGAGGGGGGCGCAAAAACCCGCGCCGATCGGCAAAACAAGGAACAAGAAAACGAACACTATGCTGCTGCTTGTTCATGCTGTTCTGTTTTGGCTCGGTGGCGCCCTCGTGCAAGTGATAGTCTCTGGGGGCGCGAACCCTCCGCAATCGACGGTTGCGCTCGGGGACCGTGGAAGGGGAGTGGAGGTGCCGCGGCAGCGACGACGGGCCTGCAGGGGCGAGCGCGCGGCAAGCACAGCTGGATTGAGTACACACACCCGCCTGGATTGGCCAGGGAGGTGAATAGAGTCAACCCGTATCTTCAGGACGCACGACAAGGATGCAGTGGGCCTTGGGCGCCCAGCTTGAGTTTTCCTCGGGCGGGGCGCGGCCAGCGCAAGTCGCCAGGGATGGACCGAGGAGGCAAGGGTGCTAGGTTGCCACATCCTTACGATGCGGGCTGACTGCACGCCGATCCATGGCCTTGGGCTGGCCCGGCCAGACTGGTGAGGTGGCCACTTGGCTCCCCAGTCGGGGGGGAGGCGCAGCATGCGTCTGCCCCCGCCAGGCCACCAGTCTTCCCAACGTCGCGCGCCGCGCCCAGCGACGCGCGGCCCGTCGTCGCGCCCTCTGCGCCGCCGCGTCGGAGCAGGGGATGCTTGGTGGCCCGGGCAGCGGCGCGCGAATCGCGACTGCCTTGGCGACCCGGGAGGCGACCTAATCACGGTCTTCTTCTCCTGCTCCTGCTCCTCGACTATCTCGTGGGGTAGCTCGTGACGTCGTAAGTCCTCCACCTCCCCCTCTTCTTGGCGCCCGTATCCCACCCCCGCCCCGGCGGAGGGACGGAACAACGAAGGAACTGGGGAGGTGTTCCTGGCGGGCAATGCCTGCTGCGCTGAGAGTGGCGTACGCTACCTAAATAAGGGTCGCGCTCGCATAATACGAGGTAGCTACTCGACTCACAGAAACGACAACGTTGGGCGGGGCTGGAGTGGACACGGACAAGCGGCTCGAGCGCTGGACGGAACGAGGAGAAGGAAGCAGCAGCAGAGAAGCCGGGCTGAGCCGACCGCCCGGCAAAACACACATCGGGATCGCCGCCCCCCCGCCCCGCGCCCCCTCGGAGGGGCCCAGGACCCCCCGAGGCGACAGCCAAATGCCATCGCACCCCAGCGGCTCCAGGCGGCCATCCGCGGGTGGCTGGCCAATCAAAAGGTCCCGCATCCGACGTCTGGCGAGGGGGAGAACGGCGCCCCGGCGGGAGCGGACCTGCAGAAACCTGCGCGGCGCCGCGGCGAAAATGCCACAAAACCACTCCGCAGGACGGGCAACTGTCCGATGAATGCGGCGAGCTTGAATCATGCACCGCACCAAATCGCCGAAACTGCGCCGCGAATTTCGGACGCAAGCTGCGCGGCGACTGGGCGAGGACAACATTTCTCCCGCGCTCGAGCGCCCAGGCTGCCATTGCCAAATTTGATCGATTCGGCGAGCGAACCACGCGCTGCGCCCGCGCGGGAACGCTATTTCCGCCCGTTCAGCGAGGGCCATGCATTGCCCGCTCTCGCGCGGCCCCGTGTCCAAGATTTGGCACGTGAAAGATATGCGCCGCATCGAGACGGCAACGCCACTTTCATGCGAATCTGCGTGGCCCCGTAGCGCAAACTGTAGTTTGTCCGTTCGCGCCTCGATGGACTGTCGAATGTGACCAATGAGCGCTGCGCCAAAGCGGGAACTCAACTCTCAGGGCAAATCAGTGTGCGCGGCGCCGAAGCGAGAACGGCATTTTGCCCTTTCGCGCGCTATGTGCTTCCCGTCCCAGTTCCGCCGCGCATTCTGCAACTTCAGTGCCAACACGTTGCTGACATGCCACATTTAGACATTGCATTATTCACGGGCCGCGTGGAACGTCCAGGACGGCGGTGCTGTCAGCTGGCTAGTTGGCCAGCTAAGAATGTGCAGACGCACGTACGTATACATATACACATACGTCGTATGTCTGTCATACAGTTGTCTGCGCATGCATATGTAGATGTTTGTAATTGTATCCACGGAGGCCATGCGCTTAGATCCTTCGCAACTCCGAACACATCATCCTCATCCTCTTCATTCTTATCGCTGCCCACTCCAATGACAAACGTGTAACCCCAAAAGCCACGAACGCGGGAATGGGCTTGTCGGCGTCGGCGGCGCCGTCGGTGTCGGGGTCGTCGTCGGCATCATCGTGATCGCGGGAGAAGGAAAAAGGGAGAGAAGGAGAGGGG